AATTTTATCATTGAGTCCATAAGGAAATGATATTTTTACCCTTCGGGGTAATATGTCAAATTCTTATGCCGTACTCGATTATAAAATATGCAATCCGTTTGAGGATACAAAAATTCTCCAACAAAATCCTGCTAAAATTCTGCATAAATCCTTTTGCCAAACAGCCCCTAAGGCATCTATTGCATATCCTCTCAAAAGTTCATGACTCTTTAAGCACCTTGGTATTTTTCTTCTCTTCATAACCTTGAACGTGCAACATTCAAAACATTTGGTAATTACATGACCTTCTCTGAAAATGTGGCAACAACTTATTGAAGTTTGATGGTGCATACTAAACTTTCACCAGTCATTTCCTGTTCCCTGTTACAGGGTTTTTCAGGCACCTTAAAGTTAGGCCTTAGCAGCTTATATATTTGTTCTGATTTTGCTTTGATTCAGCAACAAAATTTATTTATTTTTTGTCTGATACAGGTTCCTCCGAAATTGGATGACATTTGGGGTTGCTCTCAGTGTTATATCTTTATTTGGTATTACAATGGTATTGACTATATCTACTAACCGTTGTTACTTACTTTTCTGTCACTTGTTATTCTTTTTTACACCAGTCAGATGTTTGTTGAAGCAATTGACTTGTATACAGTGGTGTTACATTACGTAATCCAAAGTTTTCACTTACTAAGACTGGAAATGAGAATTCTGTGGTCTCTTTCACTTTTTAGAAAAAAACTTGCTGGAGGATATATATATATATATAGACAGGATAATTAGTTATGATTTTTTATAAATCAGAGAAAAGTTATCTTGACTTCTGATCTGTTTTGTCATACAATGATGGCTATTATTCTCTTATTTTATCTGTGGCATGTGTTCTACTTAAATACATAAGATAGCTCTTATGTTTCATCAGTTCAATTTTTTCATGATTTATTTATGAATAAAAGTTAACCCTGCATTGGGGCACTGCAGGTTTGATACTATTTCTGGTTTGCAGATGCTATTTTGGGAAGCAGCTGCTGCTTTTCATCTCCACCGTTGGAGTTTTGGGCTCCAGGATATTCCACTTAGCCTGTTTTGGGGCACCACTCCATTGGTCAGTGTTGGAAGTAGTTGGATTCTTTTCTTCTGGATAAACACAAAAATTATACCTCATCATTTGTGTATGGTAGGTTTCGGGTTTAAGCATATCAATTATGGATTTTGCTGTTGTGGTGTTTTCAACAGTGATTTCTGTCACAGTTCATGAACTGGGGCATGCTGTTGCTGCTGCAAGGTTTGTTTACTTTATAGCATTATTTAGTACCGTTGAATCCAATGCATCCTGGTTGAGTTTCGTAAGGGCTAATAAACATAAATGAAACAATTTTGAGATGCTCATAGACTTTATTTTTGTTGTATTTCTTCATATGGAATGGAAGTATAACAAATACATTTATGAACATTTTTTGTTGCTGGGCATTGGACTACTATTTATTAAGCATGTGTTTGTGTGTTGCGTGTTGGGATTGTCAAGCTCCTTGAAGTTGAAAGTCTGAGATGACGCCGAACCGGCAAGCTTAGTAGGTGACTTGGGCTCCATTTCATCATGCTTTGCTTTTCTTTGAAATATGCATTTGCATTATTAAAAGGAAAAATGTGTACAAAGGGCTACATACATGTATGGGTACTCCTATGGGAGCTCAACCTCAACTAAATAAAAAAGAAGAAGAGGGAAGATCATTGCTTTCTATATCTTTTCATACCCTTCTACAATTTAAAGTGTAAAAAGCTGAAAATTGCATTCTTGTTGTCAATGTGAAGTCCCCAAAGTCATTGTAGTGAGCACCATGCTGCTTGGCTAGAACTACCACAATTTCATATTTTGCAAGAAACGCATGAAAATTCAGTTGAACTGGTCAGTTAGAACCGGTTCTTACAACTTAACTTAATATTATGCTTCTCTTTTAATGACCAACATTATGCGCCATAAAACATTGCAGGTTTAACCACCATCTTGTAGAATTTTCCCTTAAGTTTGAGTGATACTTTTCTATCACACAACAGGCCCAATGCATTCCTCTAGTTCATCCATCCAACTCAAATTCTACTTATAATATCCCCATCTATTTCACCATCACTCTGAACAATAGACTCAAGTATCTAAAACGTGTACTATTATTAATGACTTGATTTCTCAAAGTCACAAACCTCCCACTAGATTTATTACTATTAAAATTACACTTCATGTGTTATGTTTTAGATTCACTCAAACGAAAACCTTTAGACTCTAAGGTTGACAAAAACAAAATTCTATATTTTCATTTAGAGTATTAAGTCCACTAAAGTCATTCGTATTTTCACAATCGTCATTGAAAAGATTAGCAAAATATCTCATCCATCTTTGTTGAATATTCTCTTCTGAAATAAGTACTTTTTGATCTTCATCCTTAATACACTTCACTTGAACTAAATCCTTACTACTCCTATCTCTTTGTTTGATTAGCTTATACATATATCTTTCACCCTCTTTAGTATCTAATATATTATATAAATCATTAAAAATTAAAGCATCGTAGAATGCTTTCTTAGACTCCTTGGATAACTTTATATCTTTCTCATTTTTCAGAATATTTACTTCTAAACCAATTTTTATAACAGAGCTTCTTATTTTTGATATTTTCTTGTACATTTTGATTCTACCACCAATTATTTTTACAATTATTTTATATTATTGAAGTTGATAAATTTAGAGTTAATTTAGTAAATATGAACTTATCCACAATAACATTTATCCACCAATAATATAATTAGAGCATCTATAAACTTATAAAATCCAATAATTCATTCACATAAAATTTATATGAAATCTAATTGTTACCATAATTCATCTACGAAGGAGCATATATTGCTTAGAAAATAACTTTATAACCTTATTCACTCCCCACCCAGCACACACAATGCATGAAGCATAAGTTTATAAATTCTCTTACAATGATGCACAACTAATAACCTTAGAATCATAAAATAAGTAGGTTTTGAGATTGCATGAAACAAGCCATGTGAAACCTACTAACTAAATTATGAGCTGTAAGGAACAGGGCATGGTTAGTCAAGCCAGTATAACTGCTGTAATAACTAACCATATAATACAATCAGCCAGGAGGAACAATTATTAAACAAAGGCATACAGTGGAATGAAGTTGACTGCTAAATTACAATGAACAGCAACATCTTACTTCTACATAAAGGAATGTTTCAAAGGTTGTTTTATGAAGGAGTACTTTTTCATCATTAACATTATATAACATATCAGTCTCTTATGAAAGCCCTGGTTCGATAGGAAAGTCGTTGCCCAGCTGATTGATTTTGTCAACCCCTTTCAATAGGTTATCATTTTGCTCATCTTAGGCCCATCATCCAGGCAAAGCTTATGTTGACTATTGGCATGCTTGATTTAATTCTTTAGTTGATATGCTTATGTTGACTAAGTTCATCTCTCCCTCGTCATCCAGGTGCCAATGATGTTCTTATGTAGAGTATTGATTTGCTTGATTTAATTCCTCTTTAGTTGATTATGGTTTCACTCTCCCTTGTCAACTTACCAAGGATAAATTGATGGAAGAGCATACAAAAGTATCTTGTAGCATGATTATTGAATTCTTTTAGATGCTTTGCCTTATCCTACTGAAGTACTGATTCATTCACTGGTGCAAAAATAACAGTGAAGGTGTACCAATTGAGTATGTTGCTATATTCTTGGCGGTTATATTTCCTGGAGCTTTAGTTGCTTTCAACAATGACCTCTTGCAAGCTTTACCCAACTTTGCTTCCCTTCGAATATACTGTGCGGGAATCTGGCACAATGCAGTGGTAAGTTGTGTTTCTCATATAACCGATCAGGAATTTTGTATAGATTGCTGAAGTACAGTGTTGAACAGCTCCATAATTACTCAAATCAACTTTGCTTCATATATAATGAGTGAGTGATTTCATTTACATTTTTAACAGATTTATCAGTTAGACATTTACTGTGATGAGTTTATTCACATAGTTAAATAATAAAACATGGTGTCCAAAATGTTAATGATCTGTTCGAACTTGCTCACAAAATTGCTTGAAGCTTTTATTGTATGTCCTGCTTATCAAAAGAAAAGTGCACATTGAAGTTTCTGGTGCTTTACCATGCTTCAAATTGCAGACACATACAGTATTGAGGGTTTTTGGGCAATGCTTTTACATGAAATCTCTCTAAAGATGTCTGATTTTGTGGAGTGTTGATGGTGCTATTAATCCATGCTAATGCTAATTCGCTACTTCTTGTTAAAATGCAATTCTTCAGACCAAGTAATACATGCTAGTAACTATAATGAACTGTTCTTTGGCATGGTTGGCCTTTTGTTCCAAGGGCTTAATTAAGCACTAAAAATACTTTCCAACATTGGTAGTTCTTCTGAAGCGTTTCTGTATATTCATGGTAGAGAGACCAGATAAAGAAATCTTTGGAAAAAAGGGGAGGCATAGTGAAGGCTTAAATGTGGGATTTGACCTGCCATAGTTTTGCATGAATGTATCTTATTACCTATATGGGCATTGAAGGGTGCTCATGAGTTAGTGGCGTGATTCATTTTCTTCTCGCTCTTTTGGAGTTTTGTGAAAAATGTTGAGAAACATAAAGTTCAAAGACATACTTGGATAATGCCCTGTTAAGTGTTAACCTCATTTTTATATGAGGCCAAATTTCTCATGTTCACTCCTTAGTGCCTAGGTTTTCAAAGCCTAGCATATACATATCTTGTAGGGTTCCCTCTAGGTGGACTCCCAATGATGTAGTGCCTACCAAACACAAAAAGCTACAAAACTTTTAGATCCCTGATGACTCTAGGCAAAGTGATAGGGTTGTCTAATTGATCAACCCTTTAATTTGGGTTGAGTAAATCAGCTCAATCTAAATCCAATCGATTTAAATAAAAAAATAAAATTCAGCACTAATTAACCCTTATTCAATTAAATCAAATTCATTAGTCTCTATTCAATGTTAAAATTAAAACAATGACAATTAACTTATATTTGCTCTCTCTTGCCGATGCCGATTTCGAATTAAGTAAATGACAATCCAATCTAATTACGTTGAATTGAGTCGCGTTGAAGCAATTTGATTTGATCTTTGAGTTAGTTCGATTCAACTCGAGTTTAAATTCACTTGGACGTATCAACCAATTTAAATAGATTCCTCTTGAGCTAATTTAAAATAAATCAGTATAAGATAAATCAAAATTGGCTCGATCAGATAGTTTCAAATCCAAATTTAATCGATTATATTTGATTAATTAACCTGTTTAATTAATCTAATCATCTAATCTTTTCAAAAAATATTAATTAACTTTTTAACTGCTAAATTATATAATTACTCTTCATATATCCTTCAAACAACCATTAAAGATAACATGGTGCATTCTCGGCCTTTGGATTAAAGGTTAGGATCATCTTGTAGCCTTTTCTTTGTCATAGAAACTCAAATTGATCATAGGAGTTGTTTGGGGCGGGATTCACGGGACCCGGATGGTCCTCTTGGTTCAAACATGAGAAAAGCGAAGAGGGAAACTCGATTGGACGTGGCTTCAATCCTGGCGTCGGATCGAGCAAACAAGGAGAGGCGACAGTTCATGCAGGTTGGCTCATCATGCGCGCCCTCATCCGAACCCTCTTCCCTGCCTACGGGCAAAGCCCCCTGATGTAGAACGAAAACGCTCTAAGTCCGCTTCCCAAAAAATCTGAAAACATTTTCAGATTTTGATCCAAAAATTCTGAGGACAGCAGTTTCGCTAGCTGAAATTCCCTGGACAGCAGCCTGACGATGTGCAGGAAATCTGGACAGCAACCAACGGAGGAGGAAACGAAGCTCAGGTGTGATCGTTATGGTTGTCGACAAAGAGATGACAGCAGATTGAACTTAGGAGAGGTTTTGGACAGCAGTTTTCTGCTTCCTTGCAATCTAGACAGCAACTTGCAATGTTGGGGAACACCCTGGACAGCTTCTATAAAGCATTGGGAACTTTGGACCACCAGGTATGGAGGCTGGGAGCCCTTGGGCAGCAGGTAGTGGCCTTCAAATGCTTAGGATGCAAGCCAATGGCAGAGAATTTAGGCTGGGAGAATTTCGGCCAGCAGGGAATACGGGAAGGAAATTTTGCCAAAGTAATACGTTGCAAATCTGGATAGATTTCAAAGGCAATTTAATAAGGAGATGGGGACAGCGGTAGGGGGAGTTGGGCGGTGGAATTATTTCTAAATCCTTTGTTTGGTTTTAGGAAAGTAATTAGAGTTTATTCCTTAAGAAAATTTCGGCTGTTGAGGTGGGGAAATAAACTCTTTTCTTTTAAAAGGAAAGGGGACTTATTGTTACAGGGAATTAAATGAGGCTATTTCCTAAACTAAGCCAACAGGATATGAGGCCGGCAGATTGCATGAAACAGGGAATTAAATGGATTTAAATTCGTGTAATTAATCTCCATAGATTAGGGAATTAATTAGTAAAGCAAGGCAAGGGAAATTTTGGTTATGAAGGGGATTTTGAATTATTTTCTAAATCTAGGATTGATTTAGGAAATAATTTGAAATAGGATTTAATGAGGCTAATTAAACTTCAATTTGAATTTAAAATTCAAATTGATTTCAATTAAGCACATTCCAAAAAATAGATGAACCAAATTAGGAAAGAATTTGAAATTTGAATTTGAATAATTTCAAATTCAAATTAATCTCTAAATTAACCCAACCAAATTAGGAAATCCCAAAGTGGGTGGGAGGAGTTCGGCCGGTGACTAATGAGGTGGAGCCGGCGGCATGGTGGAAAAGGAGACGACGGCTTGGAGATGGAGAAGATGAAGGTGGACGTAGCTAGAGGATGAAGATGAAAACTAGGAACAATAAAAAGAACAAAAACAAAGATAGAAGATAAAAACGAAAGAGAAAATAAAAACCGCGAGCCTTGGACTTTTCCGAAGACTGACGGGTGATCCGTTTGCCATCTCCAAGGGACTTCACGCCACGAGCCTGGACCCATCCTACGGCTGGTGGAAACTCCGACTACCCTCCCATAGGGATTTCACTAAAGTTCTTCTCAAAGAACACAAGTGCAAAACACAAATTTTTTTATTATAATTCCATCATACCTAATACATGAGAAGGGGCCTCTACATATAGGCCTCAAAAGAAATTAAAAGACACATTTAAAAGGGAAATTACACAATTAAATCAAAATACACTTAATAAACTAAAATAAAACAAATTGATCTCGATCGTCGATCTTCAGCTCCTCCTCGGATAGGCATGGACGGTTGGATGTCCGCATCACCCCCATCTTCCATTCTTTTTCTCGCATGCAAATCCTCCATCTTTTGCTCTCCTTCTGCGTGCAATTTCTTCCATATGTCATATGCGATTGATTCGAGTAGGAGAGAGAGGGAGTCATGTAGGAGTTCGAGCATTTTTGTCCATTGCAGTAGAGTGAGAGAGAGGGAGACTTGGCCAGCTATTCTTACATTTTGTTCTTGCCGATCGAGCGAGAGAGACAGGAAAGAGAGTTGCTTGTGCGTGCTTCTTACCTCGTGACTGAGTCTAAGACCAAGGAACAAGAGAGGTTAGAGGAAAAGAGCTGAACTTCATTCTTCTGTATCTTGTGTTTGAGAAAGCTTAGAGATAGGAGATTTGAAGGTTCACAACTGTCATTGATCGTAGCTCTAAGGAAAGTCGAGTTTCAAGCTTCAAATCTCCTATCTCCAAGCTTTCTCGGACACAAGAGATGGAAGAATGTAGGTCAAATATTTTCCTTCGACCTCTCTTGTTCCTTCATCTTCGGCTCGGTCAGGAGGAAGAAGCACGCACAAGCATCCCTCTTTCCCACTCTCTCGCTTGATCGGCAGGAACAAAATTGCAAGAACTGCCAACCAAGTCTCCCTTCTCTCTCACTCAACTGCAATGTTCAAAAATACTTGAACACATGCTTTTCTTTCTCTCTTGCTCGAATCAATTGCATAGGTCGTATGGAATGAATTAGGGCTATAAATGAACTGAGCCGAGCAATTTCTTGTTCATGTTTGGGTTCGTTTATTAACAACTTGTTCATGTTCGTCGTTCGAGTTCGATTCAGACTTTCTTGTTTGTGTTCTAGCATGGTTCGTTTAAGTTGATGGATAATAATGTTTGGTTCGTTTCGTGCTTATCAAGCTATAAATGAGTTCTACTTCTAAATTTTCATTAGTTTAACGAATGAGCTTTTATTGAGCCTACTAACAAACATGTTCGTGAACATTTCTAGTGATTGTTTAGAACTACCAAACGAGCATGTTCACGAATATATATAATGAGTATTTTTTAGCTACCAAACGAACCTAATTGCGAATATATCTAGTAAGTGTTTTCGAACTATCAAACAAGCTTGTACACGAATGCGTCTAGCAAGTGTTTTTGAACTACTAAACGAGCTTATTCACAAACAAACGATCTATAATTTTTCTTATAAGAAAGCTTGTTCTAGAATAACTTTTATTATAATTTAAAATTATAATAAACATAAAATATTTATATTAGATTTATTAAATTTTTGTATCAAATAAGAATCAAGTTCCTAACAAGCTTTTTATTGAGCTTCATATCGAGCGTGTTCATGATGTTATTTATGAACATAAACAAACCAAACACATATTTGTTCAAGCTTGTTTATTAAAGCATCGAATATTTAAGAAAATGTTCAAACTTGTTTGATTACTTAATTAAACAATCACAAATGAACTTTTATAGAGCAAAGTCTCTAGTAGCTTGTCGAATAACCAGTTCATGTATAACCCTAGATTGAATTGCATGCAGAAGGA